TTAAGACTTGAACATGGTCATTTTTGTTTTGTAACAATGAATACAAAATTAAAAAAAAGTATTTAAAAAAAATCCCGATCCCCGATTTTTTTCTCCCAATTCCGATCTTTTGAAAATCACGTGATCGGCTCCGATCCCCGATCACGTGATCGGATCGGGACATCTCTAACTATAAAATATGTTTTAATGACAACGAGCATTATGAGTTAAATATGATCAATCCCTCAAATATCGGTCTAAATAATCAATAGATTTGTTTTCTTCCCCAAATCGTGCACCCATATCTGTTGCATCAAACAACCTAAAAAGACTTCTTTATTTTGTATTTACGTACCTTTTCTTATTCAAGTTTTATTATCTTTGCTTTTAAATTAGTGTTTTTAAATGCCCCTTTATAATATGTTTCTTAATGTCTTTCATTTTTGTAAAGCACTTTGAATTGCCTTGTGTCGAAAGGTGCTATATAAATAAACTTGCCTCTTATTGTGATAACATTTCAGGTGGAGTTTGAATCGATTAAGCTAGAGATGACCCATAAGAACGAGGAGCAGGAGGAGCTGCGAGCTCAGATGGAGGAGACGGAGCGGCTGAGGGAGATCTCGGAGAGGCAGCTGGACGAGGCCCTGGACTCCCTGAAGGAGGAGAGGGAGCAGAAGAACTGTCTGCGGCGGGAGCTCTCCTCCCTGACCCTCAACCCCTTTGAGTCCATGGGGAACCTGGAGCTCCACCTGGATCAGCTGGATGACAGCCAGGAGGAGGGCCAGGGGGGAGAGGGGGGAGTGGACCAGGACAGCGGCATTAACAATGGTCCTGGCTCTGCTCCCAATTCTGCTCACCCTCCTCACTCGGGGGGCTCGAAAAGTAACGGCCATATCCGACGCTACTCCACTCCGCGCAGCAGCATGGCGTTCCCCCGCGCTCCGGCCTCGGGGCTGGTGTCCGACCTGCTGAGTGAGCTACACTTCTCAGACAGTCAGAAACTAAAACAGCAACTCCTGCAGGTTGGTGAACTTGTCTCACTTTTAAAAATGTATTAAAGGGGACCTCCACTTGTTCATTTCTTTTACACATCAACATGTGTCCCCTAAAGAGACTGAAAGTTTCAGGAAAAAAAGCTTCTCTCTCTTTTTGCCCTGATCCATTTATATAAAAACCTGTCTGAAAATGAGCTGATCAGAGTTTGGCCACTTTATGACGATGTCATAACGATTTGTTGGCTTGTGTAACCATTAGCCAATCAGCGAACCAAGGTAACCCCCCCCCCCCTTACTCACCTGAATCTCCTCCTAGAGCACCATTGAGTTATTTTTAACCAAATATCTCTCAGAGGGGCGTGGGGAGGGGCTCCTTATTTTCATCTAAAGTAACAGACAGAGAATCAGCACTTTTGAAACAGGGCTGAAAAAGAGGGGATTATGGGTAATGCTGCAATGATCTGTTTGGTGTTTGGAGCCAATCAGAGACATGTTCTGTATAAATCTGAGACCTATAATACATTGATGAAAAACAGTNGCTTATCAGTACTCGCTAGCTTATTGCTACAATTAGACACTGCGCCCACTGGCTTGTTTTCATAGACCTGGTTGCTTATTTCTCTCAAATCTGGCAACAGAGTGGGCGCAGTGTCTAATTGTAGCAATAAGCTAGCGAGTACTGATAAGCTTTATTTTGTTTTGATCCAATGCTGCTGTGAAAAAAAGAAGCTATATCCATGTTGGATAGAATATCCAATTTAAATAAAAAAATAACCTTAAGGGACAACTTGAATGCTTTTTTTTTCTCTTAATGCATTGCATAAAGATGGGATCGGGAAAAATCGGTATCGGCAAATTGTCAAAATCAAATGATCGGAATCGGATCGGGAGCAAAAAAAGGTGATCGGGACATCCCTATTTATAGTGTAATATTTTAAGAGGGTATGAACCAAACATATGCTTTGTTAAGTTGGTAGGATACTGTTTGTAGGCCAGGATATTTCTGCAGCTCCATAAAAAAAGTATTTGTGTACTCTAACACTTATTTAGTGTTGATCAAATATCTGTACAATAGCGTTAAACACCCCTTTCGGCTTGGGTGGACAATTCAGGTCTATTCTTTTTATATACAAATTAGTACTCATGCACTTTTAAACATGCGGCTTTATGGATGAGCTCCTTTGTTGGTTTACATAGAACCCTTCAATTATCCCGACAGCAGGCTGTAGAGGGAAGGCTGGGTGTTGCACAAAATAACAGGCCTTGGCTCAATTAGTCATGGACAGTTTGTCTTGGCAGAGCTGCAATAAACACGGAGAAGGTACATCTGCGTACGGAAACAGTTGCCTCTCTCCCTTTAGAATCCAAGCAACATCACTATTTAATATTAACACCCAACAGTATTTACTATTCAGAGTAAGTTACCAAATGTTCTAGCGACGTCAGAAAATGTAAAATGCATTTGGAAGGAATGCAGGTCGGAGCGCGGATTACATGGTGCGGTGCCACTAACAACTATAAGTGAAAAGGTCCCAGTAGGCTGGCTCTTAAGGGAGGCAGCCTCATATTATCATTAATCTTCAACTAGTCGGTGCAGTCTACACAACATAGGCCAGTTCGTAAAGTTATATCAGCAACATGTGACGAAGATTATACATTTGTTGCAGTCAAGGCAGTTTTGCCCTCATATAGTGTTCTATAACAATGAACCGTAGGATTAAGTGTTAACATCCACTTACAAGAACTTCACAAACACAAAGTATAGAAAGTAAAAAAGCTAATTCAATAAAAATCAATAGTATGGCATAATGTTCATATCAACATTTTCTCCCTTAATTGCATATTTCTACAGATAGTTTTAATATCAATTTTCTGGATAGCTACATTTTCATTAATTAATATTTTCAACAATCCATCCATAGAATTACGGGCAGTGTGAGAAACTTGTAACTGTTAAAGTTGTAGCTTGAATGATGAATGAAAGACAACTGACCTGATTCTCCTTGAGCACGGACACCTGTTTCTGCAGAGAGGTGTTCTCTTCCTCTAGCTCGCTATTGTCCTGCAACTGGCGCTGCTCACGTACTTTGTATTCCTTCATCTCGTCCCTCTGATGGCCCTTTTCGGCATCTAGACACTCACACTCCTGTAGAACACAACTCAAGGTCAAATCAATCCAAAGCCAAACATTTGAACTGCACAATAAATGTGCAACTTCCAAGTCATGCACATTACATTTCACTTTGGGAACGAGGCTACACAGCGGATACATCCTCATCAGGACGTGACAGGTTCCACACAGTTTCACAACACTAGGGGTGGGGGAAATCATTGATACAGCTTAGTATCGCAATACTTCATGTACCAATAAAGAAGATCAACAAATATTTTGGAGCGCACTTCCACAACCTACTAAACATATATAAATATGATAACCAAGGTCACTCACAACCTGTCATGTTTAATCTGCTACACGCAGTACTCTTATTTTGGTAACCCCTGATCCGGAAGTAGCGAGCTAAGAGGTTCCGGCTTGACGAGGTTAGTAAAAGTTGACTGTACGCTAGAGGCCGGAGCATAAAGTAGACCCTCCAGAAAAACGCTGGCAAAAATCCTTGATTATGCGATTAAACATGCGGGGATTTTATGTGATTTTATGCGGTGAAATTGCGGGAAGTTGCGAAATATGCGGAAAGTTGCGAAATATGCTAAATATGTGGGAAAAAAGAATAACAATTTTTTTTAAATATTGGGCTGTCTTATTTATTCTCTCTCACACACAACCTGCCACTAACGTTAAACCCCTTTACTATTCAATTAAACACATTCAATGTTTATTTATTGTAAAAGCAATTGGGCTATTTTAATCTCACACACA